CTGGGGATATGGGGAAGTCAAGAAAGCGGACTTTGTCGACTTTGCGCATATCAGCCAGGGGTGGCGCTCCTGGACCACTAATGTGGACATCGTCCTCCCCAACGCACACGCAGCAGACTCAGTAGTCCGAAGAGCTAAGTCGGCGGCGGTGCGAAGCTCGTAAGCCTGGGTTGGACCCACCCTCGTGCAGCTCGGCCAGCGCCTGCGCTTGGTAGCGCTGGTAGGTGGCTATCGCATGCAAGGCGGAAGCAGCCTGGCCCGCAGCTATGTAAGCTCTAGCTCCGAGGGAGGATAACTTACAGGCTTTGGATGGGAGACGAGGCGGACCCCGCCAAGAAGAGGCGCCGCGCGGATTTACCGCCATCGAGCACTCAACCTGAGGAATCGCCACATACGCCCTGGCTGTTTCACCGTCAAGAGTGGTTAGGGTGGAGGAACACGCAGCACGAGCAGAAAAAAGTGCTTTACAAGACCGCGTGAGCCTACTGTGCACCTCCGGGAAGAAGGGAACGCCCCTCTAGTCGGTCCGGCCGCGGAGCTGGGGGATAAACCATCTCCAACCCACGGCCGAAGCAGCCCGGGAAAGCACGGCTAACATGTCCGTTTCAGGATCCGTATTGACAGCGCTCACCAGCCCGAAGGGGGCGAGCGGGTCTGGATCATCATCGGACAATGAAAGCCCACCCTCCGATGCCGCGGTGGACATCTGGTCTCCGGTGTCATCGGGCGTAAGGGCTACCATCTGTTAGACGGATCGCTTCCCCCGCCCGAAGCTTGGATGGAGCGCTTAGAGGAGCGGGAGGTCCGCGGGCCCGTGGGCGACGGATTATCTCTCGCTGAAACCCTCAGATCTGCCCGAGTGCCCGCTGCAGAGCAGGGGACAACTGGGGTGGTTCGCCCTTTGCAAAGGCTTACCGCGATCTTGCGCAACAGTCATGGCATCGCAATGACGACATGAACTGCCCGCGAGCAGCGCATTAACATGCTGGACCCCCAGACATGTAACGCAGTGCCCGCGCCCATCATCCGAGGACAGGAAACCACCGCATCCAGAAACGCACAGTCGGAGCGCCGTCCTGATAAGGACGTGCTGCACGACTGTGTTGCTCTTTCTGTGAAGTTTGCAACTTTATACGCACCGCTCTGGAGGACCGGACCCAAAGAACGCCAGGCAAGGGAGAAACCCAGCTCGACCGTCTGCCACTGCGTGTACACACTCTGGACCGGGAGAATGCTCTCGTTCGCTCAGAATCGCTGGTCACAGCAGGAGGAACCCTCATCGACTCGATCAGAAAGTCTCTGAAGCGAAAAGGATAGCGTCTGCTGGCGCCAGGTGAGCTTATATACTCAGTTGATTGCTTATGCCGCTCACCTGCGCAGGCTTGCGCTGCCAATTCATTCTTAATTGGCCCGTTCAATACTCTTTCAAACGAGTAGCTTCTGAACCGAACCTCCCAATGCGTGGATTTTACAATCAAATCCACTTATAGTGCTGAAGTTCCCCCCGAAGGGGAACTCTGATAGCACTGCTAATAATGACTTATTTAATAATGAATGACTCAACTTGATGATTACTTTAGACTTTATATAAAATAGAAATATTCTAAATGCTTTTTCTGATTCTGATTAGGTGTCAGTATATTTATCATTCAAAAATTGTTCTGAAATTGATTTTAGTCAATATTTAGTTGTTTTCATTACAACTGTTCTTTCAGATTCTGGGCAAATTTTGGGTTTATATGGCATTTATACAGAGTTTATAGGTGTTCTGCTATTGGGATTAAATGTTGAACGTACCATAAGGAGTTGCACTAAAGTTTTATTGTACAGCTGTGCAAAGCTGACAAATGTTTTTATTTAAAAAAATATATATTTTGCTAAGAAATCACCTTTCATCCAGATCTGCAAAAGTAACTACATTTAAACATGCCAGGGCGGTAGGTGGTAACATCACTCTGTATACTGTAGAAATACTGAGCGCATTACATTTAGAAGTGCTCGCAACTATGCCCTAATGTGTTCTAAAGTCCTAATCTTAAAGAATCATGAGGACTCAAACTGTCCATCACTTGTACCCTTTATTGTGCAAAGTGGTCAGTTATCAGCACTTTGGGTTGGGATGACATTTAAACATGGCGTTCGTTTGATTGTTTTCACTCTAACGTGCCCTTCAGAGGGCGGTGTCTGTGCACAAATGTCCCTTTAGTCAAGTAGGGTGAAGCTGCAGGCCCAGAGACCCAACTGCCCGCAACTTGATGATGGACCAGGTCTACTACGTAATGGATGACCGACTACACCTCCCCCTACTCTAAACCAAACAGTCACAGTAGTATGGTGCTGCATCCCAATCCACATACTATGCATCCTAAATAGTATTTGAAACTAAAACTAGTATGTCCCAAACCTTAGTATGTTGCAAAGAGTATGCCAGAGGTTCCCGGATGGTTTGCTATTTCCGGTAAATAATTTAAGTGTAGAAGCGTCCATACTCTAACTGCTGATATTGCCCACAAATACATTGCACGTTGGACGTGAATGCGATTAGAACTACAAACGCGTGTGAAAAGTGTAAATAAACCACAAACATGATGGACGCGCGAGACCAACCGTCAAGTAACTAAGCAACAAAACGATCTGTTAAAGAGGAAGTAGTATGTCCTAAAGCTGGCAAACTCTTCCGTTGCACACTCAAAAGTATAAACTTTTTCTTCACAAAAAAGTACATCATTTTAGGGTGTAGTTTAAGTATGCGAATTGGGACGCAGCATGGGTGTTACCTTTGTGAGCGGTACAATGTCCACTACGTATTGAACCTGGTCCAGTACGTCATCAGACTGCAGCAAAGACATCTTGGCTCTTTTCTAGCAAGTAGCGACTTCGAACACGTGACCCTATCCCTAACCATAATGATAGGTCTGGAAGTGCCTGTCTAAGCGTGCAGTTGGGTCTCCTGGCCTGCAGCTAGTAGGTGGCAATGAGTAGGGTGAAGTTGCAGGCCCGGAGACCCAACTGCATGCTCAAACCTGCGCACTCACACCAGCACTTTCAAAACTATCGTTTTCTCAGTGCCACCTGCTGTTGGGTCAGGTGAAGAGGCATATCCAGAGACTCAACTGCACGCTCCGACCAGAATTTTCGGGACGGTCCTCGCTGCAGCCAGCAGCTTGATTTACTGGGCCCATTTTTGCTAAGTAATAGGCAATCAATGTCCACTATGTATTGGACTCCAAATTGCAGCGAGGACATCTTGGCACTTTCTAGCAAGTAGCAACATTGGACATGTGACAGTAACCCTAACCATAAGGATCGGTCTGAAACTGCTTGTCTGACCATGCAGGTCTAAGCGTGCACTTGGGTCTCTGGGCCTGCAGCTTCATAATGTTGCTTTAGTCCAATTGTATCTGGATGCACACTTGGATTTGCAAGATGAGACTGCATATCTCAGACTTGCAATGTCAGACACAATGCACTCGATGGAGCTAGTGACATCACTCTGAGGGTTGGTGTTAGGTGTGGGCATTAAAAAGCATTGCAGCTCAACTGCACCTAGGCTACATCTATGAGATGTCCTCTGTTTTAGTCGGCCATTGTTGTTTTGTTTATTAGGTTGTTGGGCAAGTTAATCAATTGAGAAATTAATGCAAGTGATGCAATTGACATTGCATATTCACATTTTTGTTGTTTACACATAGACGATAAAGATTTTTAAAATCTTGCACTTTGAAACTTTATGAAATTCAAAGATTTTATAGTTGTTATTCACCCAAAATGCTGTTGTCATGTAAATGATAGAAACTTTCTTGCTTGCTGATAGAAAGATTTATCTCAGAAGTCAGAAGCGTTTGTTTGATTCAGTGCTCTTTTGAAATACCACTGGGAAATAATACTTCCAGAAACCAGGCTGTCATTGTTGCTGTGTTTGCATGGCATTTTGCAAAAATAAATTACTTTGTCACAGCTAGTTAGGACATGGTGTAACGTGAGCTGGCTGCACCTAGAGAAGCCTTTGGGGAAGATGCACACACACAAAACACTGCATTTACAATGTCAAATCCTCAGCTCTAATGTGTGTGTGTTTGTGAAAGGCTGTGAACTAATGCTGCTTTATATTCACATCATATACATACATGTTTACACTATATTTATATGTTCAACTTTTCAACCCTGATTGATGAATAGACAGGTGGGTACATAGCTAATCAGTAAACATGTAAAACAAGAAATGTGACAGGAGATTTTTCTTAGTGCTAATGTTTTGGTAAAACAAACAAAAACGTAGAAACCGACAAGCCTAATTAGTCTTCCTGTCGTTCTCTTGATCAACGATGTAATGAGTGACTTTTAATTAGGATCAACCTGCAGTGCTGTAGCTGGCTTGGATTTCCTTTAATGCTGGTAAGTTCAGTCTAAGAGCAGTTGTTTATTTGTCGCTCTACTAATGAGCTCTCATTTGTTCTCAACACATTTTGCATAACTTTTCAGGGTTTAGTCCTATTTTCTCAAGCAGGAAACATGTTTTTTGCTTTGAAATGGATTTTGAGGGTATGTTTACATGACATTTGTATTCTAAAGTCAGACATTTTTCTTTTTGTGTTTTTTAAACAATGATCCATGTTTACATAGTGTCTTAAAACTGTTATACTATACCAGACAAAAGTCTCCTATCCAAGTTTTAGGAGCAACAAATAATAGCTTGACTTCTAGTGGCTTATATGAAATGTCTCAAGATTAACTAATAACTAGACTAATTTATTAATAAAGTCATCTAAACGGGCAAAGAAAACGTTCTTGCAGGACTCTCAGAGATTATATAATTTGTATTCATCATTAATGCCTCTTCCTTCATCTTACCCCTGACAAGCTCAATAATGTTCATGTCTGGTGACTGGGCTGGCCAATCCTGGAGCACCTTGACCTTCTTTGTTTTTTAGGAACTTTGATGTGGAGACTGAAGTATAAGGAGCGTTATCCTGCTGAAGAATTTACCCTATTCTGTGGTTTGTAATGTCAGCACAATTGTCTTGATACCTCAGGCTGTTGATGTTGCCATCCACTCTGCAGATTTCTTACATGCCTCATATTTAATGAAACCCCAAATCATGACTTTTCCTTCACCAATCTTGGCTGATGTCTGTGAGAATCTTGGGACTTTGTGGGTACTAATAGGTCTTCTGTAGTCGTTGTGATACAGTTCAACAGTTGATTCATCTAAAAAATCTACCTCATTGATTAGAAGTCAGGTTATTATTTGATGCTTACAACTGGGACCAATGACAAGCCTTCTGTTAGGTAGTGTATGACCACTGTTATATTTTTGGTAGTTAGACGCGTACATGACTGGACATGTAAAACATAAGCAAATTATGTCACTATTTTCACAAAATTACATTTTTATAGTTGTATATGGACAAGAGAGCTTACGTTTTCTGCCAAAACACAACTTTTGCACTTGAAAGTGTCATGTAAGCATACCCTGTAATACACAACACAAGAGTGTGTTGTTGTACAACATTTTTTTCACCAAAGCGCTGAGCATTGCTGAAATGTGAACCCTTGAAAACTCCACTCCGACACAAGCAAGTCTACTCCCTGTCATTGCGTTCGAAAACACTAACAATTTCCATATTCAACATGGGGCAAAAACTTCTGTTAAGAGCATAGACCTCTTTAAAAGCCCTTAGTAAAAATTCCTCCTAATTATACATACACAAAAGGTACAGCTTAGAATAGTGCATAAGATTAGACCAATCAAACGTACCACCAGACGAATGGAGCCACCAAACAAATGGGAACAAAGTGATTCTCCAATATACGTATTACATGTTTCTGGACTGGCAACTAACATGTCATTCAAGCATTGGTTATAATACATCTTTCAAAAATTATTAAATAAAGCGAATGCTTTTTACATATAGCGCAAGCTTCAAATATGGCAAGACATCTTTTAAGTTAGTAAGGGAGGGCGTTAAAATTCGGAAGCACTTCATCTTTGTCAAATGGTTGTCAACTGCGGCAGGCTCGACTCTGATTCCAGTTACGCTTACCGTACAAAAGAGACAAATGGTACATAAACAGTAAAAATACATTATGTATTGCTAAAGATAAAATGCTACCCGGTGGCATTCACATCACAGGTAGAACAGAAGAAGTCTGCAACAACAGTCATTCAGCTTATTCGGGTGGTTTATAATAACCAACAAATAGTCTTCACACCGAAGGATCTCGGAAGCAGATATTTACACCTTTTGTTTGTTTGTATGTGTGAATGCGCTCATTTGATTACACTTTTTCATCTTTAACCTGTGCAGTGATGTAATTAACTTACCAATCCAGTGCTCAAAATATGTTTTCTACAAAGTTTATTCCATGTGATTCGGTGGAAATTTGAATCCATCCTTGCCGATGTGGTTTTAACAACAATTAGAACTTCTCTACTCGCTCTTTTCTAGCATTCCTCAAAGAGAGACTCTATGACCTCCTGGCCGACAAAGTGGCTCCATTTCAGGCAGAGGACTGTGTTGCTGGCTCACCTTGGCATCGCTTGACATCTCCCTGCCAGGAGAGTCTGACAGCTGCGTCTGTCCTCCCGGGTTTGCCCCTGAAACCCAATGACACCCTGGGGGCATTGCTACCGAGACAGAAAGAAGCATCACTGTTGCTCAGGATAGTTTGACTCGAAGCTGACCCATGAGAGCATGTTGATACATCCTCGCATCAGTTTGATGGTTGAAAATAGCCATCTAGGAACATGCTGTAACTGTATTTGTTGTCATATTTTTGGAGCCGTTGTCCCTGGAGTTGGTCCAGAAGTACAAATTACCTCCAAAATGAAGCTGGTGTGAGGATAGAGAGAGAGCAAGACACTTCCTTTGTTCTTTTCTCATCCTTTCTTTATAGTTCATTACAGGCCCAACTGCTGTAACGTGTACTGCAGTGACTATAATGCAATCTAGTGCTCAGAAAAGGACGCTTTGTACTGTTATGAGAGCAGTTCCGCCTCTTTCTGAGTTCAGTAATCCTTCTCTGCCTCTCACAGATCTGCTTTTTTATTTGCAAGCAGCCCTGAGCAGCAGTTCCGTTGAACTCTGAACATTTCACACTCTTTAATAGTCCCTAGGTGGCTTGTACATTAGATGTCATCGGCCCGTAAAATTGCACAAGGCTGTTCAAATAAAGTGTGCTACTTTTTAGACACAGCTGTTTGCTCTGTACACAGATGTTTTGTTGTCACATAAAGGTATAAGAGGTCACGTCATAGTGCATAAAAATATCCAAATTTTGTTACGTGGTGTAGCCTCTGTCTTTTGAGCAAAACAACATGTTCATTGTAGATGAGAAGACAAGAACTTTTTGATCTGCTGTATTCAAAGTGTGCTGTCATCAATTACAGCGCCCCCTGCTGTTTGGTGGCAGTGTGGCAGCCAAACGCCTGGCTGGGAACAGCTTGGAGCGGCAGAGAGGGAGTGAGGTTGACAGCTGTGTCCATCAGTCATTTGCCCCAAGGCAAGAGAGGACAGATAGGCCTAGTATTGCTACCATTTTCCTTGGTATTTTCCTCTTCAGGTCCAGAAACACCTGAACTCTTTTAGTCTTAAACCAATGCCCACAACCACATTTAGTGATTTTCCATGTTGTGTGCATCAGGATGCTACAATAGGGTTTTGCTGCTACATGCTAGACTTGGCCAACAAACCATTGGATTAATAGGTTCTTGCTTCGACCAAAAGGATAGTTATTTACATTCAGAAGTATTCAAAAGAAGCAGGCTGTTTGACAGATATTGCAAAAAATACACATAGGCCAGTTTAGCAAAGTTGCTTTGGCAGTGCTACTTATGACATTGCAGGACTTGTTCTCCTAGATGTGTGCTCCTCCGTCACTATGGCACCTGCGGGCGACTTTTGTCCCCTGAAATGTCTCTCTTGAGGTCTGTCAGTAATAGAGACTTGCTCATTGACCTTGTCTTTACCTGTGGCTTGTCTCGAACAAGAGTTTGAAATAGAAGCAGCCAGAATAGATTTGATGTTGGTGGTTTGCTCCCTGGACAAGTTTTGCAGCACAAACCAACTTTACCTAGACCCTTATTCGTTGGCTGAAATAACAAGAACCTGTACATCACGAATGTCTTATTCTTCCCTCACGGGACACCTGGATTTCTCACTGTCCTCTTCCTTATGTTTCCTTGCTGTACTTTGTCCTCAGTGGTCTAGAATTGTCGGAATAATATCTCGCTCTGTGGCAGCTCTTGGCTGATGGAAGTTGACAGCACAATGGCCTTGTCCAGAAGGGTGTGAAGACTCCTGAGGTGCCAGGCTCCTGCCCTTTGCTATTGGACACATGGGTCCCAACCACAAAAGACATTTGAATGCCAGGAGTACAACAGGCCAGATTTTTAGGGGAAAGTACGATCACCGGGGATTCAAGGCCCATCAAGAATTGGAAACAAGACCATGCAGTGCTTTCCCCTTCGTTACTCTGGTAATTATAAATCTAATCCAAATTAAATAAAAGTAGGAAACATACTATAAATATAATTGCATGTGTAGAAGCTTCAACATCCAGTAGCAATGTCTAATCGAAATCATGCTTTCTTGTGTTTGTGTCCTTCCCAGGCTTCCCCTCAGACTGTCACCTCTGTTTTGCTGTTTGTGGGCAGACCCTTATGTTTCAGGTGGAGATGTGGAGACTGCCCATACCCCAGAGGCTGCGTGAACAGTTCCGGAAGAGTCTCGATGCTAAACTGCCGCTTGTTGGAGAAGGCCTGACGCCGACTGTTAGGCTGGGACAGCGGTGGCTGCGCCATGAGAGGGACTTGATGTTGGACATGGCTCTTGTTGGGGTCCCAGGCCTTGAAGGCCGAGCTTGAGGTGAGTGGGTGAGTGTTGGTCTTGGAGATCTTGGGCTTGGGGACTTGAGCAGATGTAATGGTGATAGCCAAAGGAGTATGGATATCTGGAGGAGGAAGGAAGGGCTTATCTTTTGGGTGGAAAACGATTGGCTGGAAGGTTGCAGACGAGGACTGGCGGTGTGCGTAATCCATCATGGGGTAGCTCTTGGGGTAGTAATCCCTGGCTGTAGTATCTGCAGTGACAAAGGGAATGGATAAACAAACAATTAGAGTCATTGAGGCTAAAATACAACAACAATGTGAAAAATATTCAAGTGTTTTGTTTAATAAGGTCATTATTCACACTAGCATAGCCTACAGTATGTGGTGTACAAACCTAATACATGTGTCACACTATACAAATGCTATATTTAGTGTTCAGAGGATCTAATTAGTAAAACACGTGGAGCAGAAGGTCATCAAGTGTGATGTGAGGATGCCAGTGGCACATTTACTTCACGCCACACACAGATTGCATGCACATACATTCACTTGAGGGAGCTTTGGCTGTACACATCATGGGCATGATGAAATATAAATTGTATATGTCCTGAGGCTGTTTGAACAGATCAATGAAAAAAAAAATTCAGAGACGAGGTGCACATAGTTCAAAGCAGATAATGGAATGGTTTGGTCTGGTAAAAAGGTACTATATTGACATATTGAGGCACAAAGACAACCTGCCATCTACGTTTGTAGAAGTTTTTAAAATGTACAGTAATACATAGATTATGAAAATCTATCATGAAATATTTTATACTTGCTTTGTGGAACCAATTAATGATTACTCTGGTCTCATTACAAAAACAAACAAGTGTTTATTTTAATAATATTGTGTGATATTATAATTGGTAATACTTGCACCAGCTTGATAAAAGTTAGCCAATTGTGTAATAGACATAGATTTTAGGGATAAGAAATAAGGATAAGAACATGATGTGGGTTAGCATGTTAGCAAAAGTTGACAGCGGAGAGTTAGCCTTTTTGCCTGTCTCGTCAAATTAGCCCATCTACATTGAGCGCTGCAAGCTATAGACAGGGCCGCTCGCTTCACTGCCCTCAGACATAAACAACCTTGCCTCACTGTTTTGTCATTTCGGTCTCCTTTTTCTTGTTTTCCTTTCTGACTTCCTTTACAGTTCCTTCTTCCTTTTATCGATTGAGTTGCAGCTGAAGCATATACTGTAGATGCTGCTGACAAGGCACACAAGCATGTAGCATGGTTTGTGTACGTGTGCTCTCCTGGCCTGATGGGAACCATTGTTTCTGCCAAAATACTGCAGCCATTAAAGTAAATCTGTGAAGTTGGCATTAGCCGCTACTGTTATGATTGTTTTGACCGTATCAGTATGGATGAGCTCACTGTTTGTGGTTGTGTGTGCGCGCAAATGTCGGCTAGTATTACAATCAGCTTAGAAGGTCAAAATTAAACCTGAAGGGGTTTTAGGGATGTTGTTTGCTGCTGAGAGCTAATACCATGTTGTCTCAGCACTACGCATCTGAAGTGTTTGAAGAAGTGACAAATTCTGAAATATTCAGCCAAATGAGGATGTTAATTTGTTCTCGTCGACAGTAAATCAAGCAGTAGTTTGTTAATGTGGTTAGACATGCAGATTAGCTCATTATTGTTTTAAGTGTGTACATCTATTAGCACATTTGTGTTTTTTAAGTTCAGGAGTGAACGTGAAAGTGAAAGAAACTGGCTAACTTTCAGTGAACAAGTAAAATTTGGGCAGTGTACAGTATATATTTAGTTAGCATGAATTTATTAGTGAGTGTGTTTAAAGAGAAGGACGCTAATAATGAGCAAGAGAAGAACAGATTTAGAAAACACAACTGCAAACACACACTTTGAATTAGCGGTGTGAAGCTTCACTTGGCTAATGATTCCATTTGACTACAATTTAGAGGGTAATGCTTTCATTATAGAAAGAATTGTCAACAATTTCAAACAGTTTAATTAATAGTAATTATAAATCACAATATAGTTTTTTATTTCGATTTCTTTGATAATAAATAAAAACAAAGAAGGAAAAACTGACATAATAAAAAGAGGACACTCTACAGTTTGACAAATATTGCTGCTGTTGGACAATATAATGTACTTTTGAGACTTTTTTAGTCAAGAATGTAGTTGTTTACATTGCAACTATGCAGTTTATTTATAAGGATAGTGCCTCTTTTAAAACATTAATAATTTTGGAGATTCGATGCATCGGCCACCATTATCCTGTCTGAGCAGACCAATGTAAGTGATGGTTGACGTTCTGCCACAAGATAGCAACAGAGAATACATAATAAGTCTTTAGAAGGAGAAAAACTCAGCGTTTTCTCAATGTAAGTTTCAAACTACAGCTGAACAAATCATTATAAATCAGGTTTGTGACATTCCAAGTCGATCTCTTGTTTGTATTTCGAATTTTTGTACCACAGAAACTGGTTCTGTTTGCTTTGGCTTTTTCGGTGCAGCCAGCATCAGGACGTGGATGCACTGGGTTGCTGTTTCTTAATATTTCAGTGTTTTCTTATAGATTACATCAAAAGAACACAAGCAATCTTAATGAACTATACATCAGTATAAAGCTACGACCCTCAAGCAGCCATTGTAGCTAGTTGTTTTTAATGGAAATCTTATAAAAAATGGATTTGCTAAATTTCTCTAAGTTGTACAGAAAACGCTTATTAGATATGGAGTGAATATCACCGTGATAACAAGACACACACGCATTCATTGCTGTACATATGGGTTTATTTTGAAAGGTTAGATTCCACAGATCAACATCCCATCGAACACATTTAGTCCATTGACACAATAGTGTTGAATTATGGATTGTTATTCGTTTGTTTATGTCACCATTTCTGCCGGAGACCCGTTGTTTACATTGTTTACTATGTTACGCGCCGAAACGGCGTCTTTGTAGTAAAAAAAAGTCGGTGCTACAGCTTACGGTGTTATTGATAAAATGAGACCACAAACTGAATAAAAAGTCAAAGTTATATATTAAGTTATTATATTATTGTGATATCTCGATTGCAAAAGGGAAATACTCGGGGATATCTCTGTAGACTGAAGGTATTTCATGCCGTTCATCCGTAAAATGTGAGCAAAAATGACCTGTCTTGTAATTAATTTAGACATTACTCTAGAGAATCATTCAAATACTAGCCCTAAAGTGACGTTTGTGAACTGTCAATGGTTTCTGCTGTTCTGATGTCGGCTGTAGATGTGAATAAATGGCAGAAGAAAGTAGTTCCTCATACAAAAGGATTTTGAGACTCTTCGTGTTTGGTTTTCTTTTTTATACATTTGCTGTCAAACTGTTGTATAAATGCAATATCACACTTCACAGTTATTTAATTCAGTCAAATGAATTAAATCAGTTACAGACCTATTAATGTTGACACTGTTTCAATTCTGGTTTGTAAGACTGTATATATTATGAACAGTATACTAAACACAAAAGCTGTTATACTATCGTTGTACCTCCATAAAGGATACACATTTGTGTCCACATCGGTACTTAAAAAGCAATTTTGGTGTTTTGTTGTACCATGAGGAGCATTTTTGTACTTTTTAAGCTACTAATATGCACATTTGTAGACCCATTAGGTAGAAATGTGCACCTTATGAAAAGAATAAAACCACAGTGGCAGCTTTTGTATCTTCTAAGAGTAGTATTACCCATTATTATGTAGATGAGTTTGGTTTTATCTTCATTTTTGGAACCCTATAATAAAAACATCTTTATGGTCATCTAAACACTTAACACTAAACATCTAAACCAGGGCTCATCAAACTTGTTCCTGAAGGGCCGGTCTCCTGCAGATTTTAGGTCCAACCCTAATTAAACACACCTGAACAACCTAACTAAGGTCTTACTAGGTATACCTAAAACATCCAGGCAGGTTTGTTGAGGCAAGTTGGTGCTAAACCTTGCAGGGACACCGGCCCTCCAGGACCGAGATTGGTGACCCCTAATCTAAACACTTTAAATACTGTTTTAATAAATCTTTCTGTATGTTATGTAATATATACTTTTTGTTTTTGTTTTATGAGAGGCTTAGGATATTGAACACATCATTAGCTCATAAGTTCATTAGCTATGAATGAATCAATCAATGGAAACTCCTCACTGTGTATGCATGTGTGTGTGTGTGTGTGTGTGTTTGTGTTTAGTCCTGAGGGTCATTCAGGCTCTGCAACACGAGTGTGACATAATTGGCCAATGATGTCACACACAGGAAGTGCTCATAGAGTGAACATATGTATCAAACTAATGAACAGACGGTAAATGTTCTCACAGCTTCTCTGTTCCTCTCTGTTTTTTCTTTCCTTCTTCACGACTTTTTCTTTTGCTGTAGTTTGCCTTTATCTGTTGTCTTCGTCTATATCTGTCTTTTCTGTATGACCGTTATTCTTAAATGAAGACTGTACAGGGAAGTTTTCCTTAGCATCTATTCACTCCGGGTGTCTCTGTGCGCATGTTCCTCTGTCATTCTCTCGTCTTTGCCTCCGCTTGCCCTGCTGAACTCTCTCGTTGCCAAGCATAGTCAGAGCTGATCCAAACGCAGCCATCCAACAGACACAATAATCTAAAACTACACTTCGTCTAAAGGGAGAGAAAATAAATCCATTTCAGACTTTGTGCGTTTGATCCTCTCTTGTCTCTTTGATAATCCTGATTTTCATACTTAGTCCACAATTCTTTTTATATTAGTGAGATTCCACTATACTGTAACTACAGGTGTAAAGAAAAAAAATCAAATGTGTGAATCTTATAATAACTGTCAAGAATATGCACAACACAATATAGAAATTAAGAAATTATATAGATATAGAATTTAAATTAAATAGAATTATAAGATTATAATAATAATAATAATAATAATAATAATAATAATTATTATTATTATTATTATTTATTAATATTATTAATATTGCTATTGTTATTAACAGTCATGCAAATTAATAATAATAATTATTATTATTATTGTTATTATTATTATTATTATTATTATTATTATTATTATTATTATTATTATTACTATCATTACTATTATTATTATTATTATTTATTTTTACTATCATTACAATTATTATTATTATTATTATTATTATTATTATTATTATTATTATTATTATCATTTATAATGATTGTTTAAAATAATAATAATAATAATAATAGTAATAATAATAATAATTGGTGTTGTTGTTATTCTAGGTATGCTAATAAAATTAGGATTACTTGAGACTAAAATCAGCACAACTATTATTATTATTATTATTATTACTACTACTACTACTACTACTACTACTACTACTATCATTACTATTATTGTTGTTATTATCATTTATAATGGTTGTTAAAAATAATTATAGTTGTTATTATTATTATTATTATTATTATTATTATTAATATTAACAACAACAACAACAACATCTGTAATAATAATAATAATAATAATAATAATAATAATAATAATCAATTGTAGAAGTAGTATATATAGAAATAATATCAATCAAATGTCAGCCTACATTGTGTACTAATAGTTGGTTTGGTACATTTACTATACCAGAAATAAAAGTGTTTACACTTTGCCTGTGTCTCTGTATGGGAGATGTGTACCCCTTTACCCCTTTTCTAACTGCTTTTTCTATGAGTTGTGTATCAAATATATTGTGTTTGTTGTGAGCTGAAAAGCCCTGAATTTGATCACCAGAAGGGCCAAATTGTGCATGTTACATCTTTTTCACCCTCAAACCACACTTACAAGAACGCAAAGTTAAGATCCAATCTGACCAGACCAATTGTTTTGCCTCCTAATATTGGATGTATCATCAGGAGCCACAGGTATTTGTTTGTGGTCACGCTTTTTTTTTTAAGCTACAATTGGCTATATGCACAGCTAGTGTTTTTCAGCCAATGATAAACTTCGGGTGAAAGCTTAATGTGAATATTTTAAATTTCATAAGGTTCCTTTTACATCATCAAGGTTGTGATGTAATTCAAATATAATCAATTAAATAAACTTAAGCATTCATTTAGTTGTTCAAGTGTAAAACGAGATGAAACCCCGTTTAACCGCTTGTGTCGTCAGGATCGGCAGGCGAGCACATAAACTCCATTAAAAATACGGGTAAAATAAAATACCATATTTTAAGTACATGGTGCATTTAATGCAGTACTTCTTGTCTGGTCTGAGACCCACTTTATATCATATATCTAACAGGCAGTGAAGATCCCTGATTTTTTAAGAATCAGACCTTAAATGTAGCAATTTTATAATTTTTGTTTTTTAAAAAGTTCACTGGAAGCGCTCTGGCTGGCTGGCTGATGTCTGTGTGCATATACCCCATTCTCGCTATTAGCAATGCATTAATTATGACTTTTAGCTCAACAAACTCACAATTTGCTGCCTGTCAACAGTTTTTAAAATATACACTGTATATTAAGGTAAGAGTTGGGTTAAGGTATTAAAATTAGGGATATAAAAACAAGATCATTCAGAAAATGTGCTTTACATGTACAAGTAAAAAGCCAATTTAATAATTGAGGGATAATAATTCACTAAACTAGTTACTAGTAAGAATTGGACCTCAAGTCTGAAAGAGCTGACTGGTTGTATGTACAAGTATGAATAACTGAGGCTCATGGTTTCAGATAGAAAACATTTAAAGCGCTTACATATTGGATGATTTGAGGGTGAGTAAATTAACAGCAAATATAACAACGATCCCTGTAACAAGCTTTAGTGTCCTTGAGTCTGTTTTTGTGTTTTCAGGCTGTTATTCGTTCAGCATATATGACATATATTTTCCCTTCATTTCATATGGAACTCATTAGTACTTTACAAACGATTTCCCATCAGCCTCCATTTCTCAGAGAGCATGTATTTTCACATCTCTCAGGGGGAAACGCAATAAGAATGAAGGTTAGCGGGTTGTTTGGTGAATCTGCTGCTCTGTTTCAAGCCTTACTGACATTGATAAGGTTGCATTACTTATCTTGTGTTTGAGTCCATTAGCATATCTCTATGTGTGTAATGCACGCTCTTTCCAGATCACTCACCTGACAGTAAAGTTGCTGTGATTTTAACAACATGTGAGTTTTTTTCTTGATGTGAGATGTGATATTTGCATATGGGATTATCATGTTCATATATGCGTGAGGTTGTGTGTTTACCCTGCAGTCAATGACACTGGGAAACATTTGCAATGGTAATCAGTGGTTGTGGGTAAAGTGACCTTGATGAACATGTGTGTGGCGTTTATGGTGTACATTACTAGATGTGAAAGCTGTTAGTGTGGATATTAGCCCACTTCACACAGTCGTTCCGGTAAATTACTGTAAAACAACCAGATGGACTTTTACGGTAAAAGCACAAATGTGTTTTTCACATACATTTCAGGGGTTTTTACTGGTAGGACACTATACTGGTAAATTCTGTGATGTCAGTAACTGGAAAACACATTAAATTCTGGACCAATTTCTTCAGTAAAATGAGAGTAAGCATTTTTGTTCAGAAGCCGGTTCAGAGCACAGAAAAAAAAGTAAAAAATGTAATTGGGCGAACTATGTGGATATCTCACAAACTGTTTTAGAAAAATTCAATGAAACAATGCACACATAAAACCAGGATTAAGAGAAACAAGTTAGAATTGAGATGACCAGGGGTTATCAATCTTGGTCCTGGAGGTCCGGTGTCCTGCAGATTTTAGCTCCAACACCAATCAGACACACCTGGGCTAGCTAATCAAGCTCTTATAAGGCTTTATAGAAGCATCCTTGCAGGTGTGGAGGCAAGTTAAAGCTAAAATCTGCAGGACACCGGCCCTCCAGGACCAAGTTTGAGAACCCCTGATGTAGAACATAAATGATATGTTAACTCTAATAAAGTATTCTAAAGAAAAGGTTACAACCACGGGATAGTTTCAACTTTTTTTCAAAATAATTTTCAAGTCTAAATTACAAGATATAATCTAAGAACTCTAAAAGAAAATCCAAATTGCAAGATACAAAGTCTGAACCACAAAGAAACTCTTACATGAACATATACAAAATATGTACAGTGTTATATGTAATCATTTTAATATATAATATTTTTTTTTCTGGAAAAAGTCTTACTTGGTTTATTAAGGCTAGAGTAAAAATATTTTTACATTTTTTAGAAATCATTTTAAGGTCAATATTAGTAGCCCCCTTAAGCATATATAGGCCTATTTTTTTAATGATGACTTGCCTAATTACCCTAACTTGCCTAATTAACCTTGCTAAGCCTTTAAATGTCACTAAGCTGATTACTAGTATCTTAAAAAATATCTAAAATATTATGTACTGTATATAATAATTCCGAAGGGCTAATAATTCTGTCAATCGTAAATATAGTGCTCAGCATACATGATTGCACCCCTCTCAAATCTCTATTTTAAATTAATATTTTAATAGGAAGATACAATATCATGTTTGTGCATATACATTAGATTAGACGGTACTGAAGCCACATCTGGAGCTTATCTAACAAAATAACTTACAATAATGGTCCAAGAACTAATACACCCAAATTTATATGTTATAAAAAAATATTAAATACAAGTTTAAAAAAGAGGAATAATCAAGAGAAGTTGAAATTTAGTAGGTTGTAATTTTTTCAACATTTTGCTTGAATTTAATTGTATTATCTTTCAACTTCTAAATATGTTTGTTGACTAAAATATTATTTTAATAAATATATCTGTTTAATAGGTCTGTTTTGTTTAAATGCACTAAAATAAATTGTCTATATTCACAGAGAAATGGAGAAAAATATTCATTTTCAAAATGGGCTGTACTCAATTATGCTGAGCACTGTATATATGCACAAAACACCCTGTTCACACATTAACACAAAATGGTGATCTAATGGTAATTTACCAGGAAAAGCTATACAGTATGTGTGAAAGATGAAAGAGGTTGGAGTGTGTGTGTGTGTCTTACCCATGGTCTTCAGAGAGGAGTATTTGTTGAAGCCCAGGTTGTTGTGTGGCTGAGAAAGGGTCATTGCGGGACTCAAAGGAGGAAGCGTGACGTTATTCAGGTGATTGTGCTCTAGAGGAGGAGAGAAAGCGTGGAGAAAAGAGGACAAGGAGGAATGAAAGAGTGAAGAAAAGAGAGAAGGGGACACAAGAAGGAGGGGTGCGTTAGTAAATGGGAAGTCAGCACATTTTTTAAAGAGATGAGTGCATGTGATTATACAGTAAAGGAGAAACCCCGCCGTTCATTTAAGCAAGGGGAATGAAGGACATGCATGCAGACAGAGGAAGATCTTAAAGCTGGAGCTCAGGTGACAGCAAGGTCATGGATTCACACTGATCACATCAGCTGATTCATGTGTTTGGATTTTGAAGTCACTTTAAATGAATGTGTTTGCTGTGTTAATGTAGGCTGCTTTTACATAACACTACAGTCTTATTCAAATTACACTCAGTTATATTTTATGCATGTACACTGAAAAAAGAAACTTCTTAAGTTTATAATTAGTCTTTTTTCCACTTTTCACTAAAAACTCCTTCAAACAAGATCAATTGACATAAGAAGTGGAGATCCTTGAGATATAGTATTTTTAGCTATATATTGTAGGCTATATTTTTATCTGTAATGCATATATATATTTTTTTACTTTATTGGTTTTAGACATTCTAACACAACGACAAATTTGTTATTGAAAATTTGTTACAACAAATATTCACACAACAAATTGACAATAAAACATGCAATATACAAACAATCCATACAGAAGTATAGTGATAACAAATTAATACAATAATAAACAATTACAAAAAAAACTACAAAAAGGAAACAAATAATAAAATAAATGCAATAATAATAATAAATGAATAAATAAAACAGTAATCTTTTGTTTTATTTAAATTAGTCTAATACTCTTCAATTTAACAATTTCTTGTTAACCATTTGTTTTGAAAATAATCCGTGAAAGGTTGCCAGATTTTATAAAATTTGTCTTCTTTCTGATTTTCTCCAGTTCCATATGTTTCATTACATCGCTCATTCCATTTGATTAATAATATTAACCTTCGAGCTAGTAGACAGACAAAAGAAACTATATTTTGTTCTGTACTGTTTCTTGAAATCAGTGATGCAGAACTGAGATATGGGGATCTGGATCTATTGGCTTTTGACCTATTTTTGAGATTATTAGAAAAGTATTTTCCCATCAAGATGATAATTTTGGGCAGCTCCAAAAAATATGAGCGAGTGATGCCGGTTCTAGACCACACCGATTACATGCAGGGGTGCCTTAGTGGAATGATCCGCCAACTTATCCAGCACATGTTTTACTCAGCGGATACCCTTTCAGCTACAACCCAACACTGGGAAACACCCACACACTTGTTTGGACCAATGTATATTTTAAATTGTATGAGGCCATGCCTTGCACAAACGGATGATCTTAGAGTCTGTTTAAGGCTCATCTCTCATCTGTAATTTTAACACCTAAATCTTCCTCCCAGGAGAATTTCAGGTATTCTAAAGTTGCTGGAAGGGCATTCCATATATATATATAACAGTTTGCAAGTACCAGTTGACAGGCATGCAGCAGCATTTTGCACCACTTGCAAATGGGCAATAGCTGACCTGCTACTCCCAACATGCTGTACAGTGCATTACAGTAATGTAACTGAGTGGTCATAAAAGCATGGATTACTGTCTCAAACTGTTGTTTTGGTATACATATTTTTACAATATCACACCATACAAGAAAAATTTACTTATGTTTCGTATGTCAGGCTTTACAGGGTAAAGGGGAAATTAAATCAAGTCTTAATATTTTATGCCATCTTGATTTTGGAATACAACTTGAGTTGAATTTTATTTTTATTATTCATTTTCTTTTTTTAGCTTAGTCCCTTTATTAATCAAGGGTCGCCACAGCAGAATGAACTGCCAACTTATCCAGCTCATGTTTTTTCGCAGCGGATGCCCTTCCAGCTGCAACCCAACACTGGGAAACACCCATACACTCTTGCATTCACACACATACAGTATACTACAGCCAATTTAGCTTATTCAATTCACCTATAGCGCATGTCTTTGGACTGTGGTGGAAACTGGAGCAACTTTTTTTTTATTGTGAGGCGATCGTGCTACCCACTGCGCCACTGTGACGCCCTTGAGTTGAGTTTTTAACTGAAAAATCTAAACAAAAAGCTTGTTTAATGTACATGCATCAACCTGTAATGTTTTTTTAAAGTATAAATAAAATTCTTGGCAGGTATTGAAACAATTCGCAAGTAATGTAGCTCTGAAAAAATTCATTTGAACAAGAAAATTAAGACCAAGTGATGAAGAATAAAGTCACTCACTTAATTTTTTTTAAATCAAAATACAAATATCCTGACTATATAGTTCATTCTCATATTTAAAAAAAATAAGCCACTGCAAAATAATAAATACTGTAGATAAATTTTCAATAGGTGACATTTTTTTTCTCTCTTCTAGAACTAGAAGTAGTCTCAGAAGATTTTTTGCTGAAACTGTGGTTTGTGGTGATTCATGAAATCCAAGTCAATGGCTGCTGGCACTTTGAGATTAAAAATAAATAAATAAGGAAAACATACAAGCAAAACAAAATTGTGCCTTTCGCCCACAGCTTTTGATGATACACGGTTGACAAAATGGTTAATCTAAGCAAGAAACTGAATATTAGTTACATACTGTATACAACATTAGTTTTAGCCTCAACCCTTAATCTTTCCTAAAGTTTTACTGAGACAAAGCAATTTTTACATCTTTGATTTTAAATGGTGAGTAAAATGACAGCTAATTAATAAGCTTATCTGAAACTATTGAAGATATGAGAATACTAGAGTCTCTGGTAACACTTTACAATAAGGTTGAATTGGTCAATATTAGTTAATGCATTTACTAACGTGAACAAACAATGAACAAAATACTTATTACAGTTTTTGTTCATGTTAAGTCACAGTGCATTATCTAATGTTAGCTAGCATGGATTTGGATTTTAATAAAGCATTAGTGAATGTTGAACTACAGTATGATTAATAAATGCTGCTCAAGCATTAGTTTATGACAGCAAACACATTAACTAATCAAACCTTACTGTAAAGTATGACAGAATCTGAAAGATAATATGGTCATTGCAACTTAATAGAAACCAGAGATATACAGAGCACGTTGTTTCTGTCTTGTGGTTATGTTTGCGCATGTGTGCAATTAGCATCCATTTTCAATACGGATACATGCCATGCGGTATATGCAAGTGTGTGCTGTCTACATGCCGTGCAGAGGTCACTAAAGGTTATTTAGGACACACATACTGTGTCCTTCCCTTTGGGCTGGCCTGTGTGGTCACTGACCCCATTCTGTCAGATCACTGTGCTCTTGTGTCTGTATATATGCACTTAACGTATGCATTTTAGGGTTAATGCGTGTATGTAACTGTGGCAGGAGGGATCGTTACAACACATAGACACAAAAACCTTCACATGCAGGCAATTAAATCTGCAAATGGACACAGGTCACAGATAATGTCCTATTCATACGCATATGAGGCACACATTGTGTTTATCGATGCTGTCTCACACATTTTTTAAAGTGTTAATAGTGCACGCGCAAACACACGCGGTGTCATGAAAAGGCCGTTTCCATTTCGCTGAAGTCGTCAAGTCCTCTATTCCAGATCTGCTTTTAATGTTCTGTCAGACATCATTTTTTATGCATTTTCATATTTGTTTGTTTACTTTCCACAGCTTATCATTTTAAAAATAATAATTAAAGGGATAGTTCACCCAAAACTGTACATTCATTTACTCACAAAGCTGTCTGATTTTTTAAAAAATATCTCCTCTGTTGAACACAAATGAAGATATTTTGAAGAATGTTGACCTGTAACCTTGGACTTCAGTATTTGTTTTTCCTACTATGGATGTTAATGGTTACAGGCTTTCAGCATTCTACAAATTATCTTTGTGGTGAACAGAACAACAATCTCAAACTGGTAGGGAACACAAAGTTTGAGTAAATAGTGACAGAATTTTGAGTTTTGGGTGAACTATCTCTTTAAAAACATCAGAATTAGGGATCAAACAAGGCATTTCTAAGATGAATCACAACATTATAGACTTTTTTGGTGTGTGGGGGTGGGTAAAGAATGTATTTCAATATTATGAAGCATTGATAATTAATTAGAAAATAGTTTTGCAAAACTTTTGACGCAGTATTAGAATTTGGACATATATAAAGTGATTGATTGACTGACTGACTGATTGACTGACTGATTGATTGATTGATTGATTGATTGATTGATTGATTTAATTTTTCAAAAAACATTTTGTTTTTAACCATTTGGGTTAAAAAGAAATTCTACAATTTAGAGTTTTTACATTTTGTTTTTATTTAAAATTTTTACAGCATGTCCACTGTAGTGGACCACAGGGCCATTTTAGTTCGAAACGAACACTCAGACACCATAACTGTACAGGATACGGCTGTAAAGGGATATTAATCCAATATTATTGTAACAAAAACAAAACAAAAGCCATTTTTTCCTTTTGTATCGAAATTCCTGAAACAGTTTAGTCTGAAAGAGATCCGAACTAAAAACAAAAAAAGAAGTGGTATTAATCCAAAACAAATTTAACATAAAAGCTATTTAAAACTGGTTTTCATTCTCTAATTTTCTCTAATTCTCTAATTGTCTGATTGTTAGACTCTAAGTCAGGGTCTCCCTCAACTATTTTATAAGGAATCATCTCTGCTTCAGTTCTGCCTTCTACAACATGCTGTCATTAATTACATTAATGTTCCTGGTGTCCACTACAGTGGACATTTAAAAAAGGATGATATTTTGAAACACAAACAAGTTAACAGCTTTTAAAGCTAAATGTATTGTTTCTGACAGTTTAATAAACAAATATATATGCAATAATAATAGTAAAAATACATTTTAAAAGCAAACTTTTTCATGCCTCTCTCCTTCCCAAAAAATGTGCTTTTTTTGTATGTCGGCCATTTTGGATGCAGTGTAAGTGGTTCCTAGCATGCCAGCCAATCAAATGACATATCAC